CAAAATAGCGACTTCGCGTGCTGGATGCTTCGCGGCAGCTCCGTTAAACGGGCCCTTCTTTTAATTTTGCAATGCATTGGCACGAACTTAGATCAAGATCTATCGGCAGATGTTGTTTTTGGAAGTTTATTTTCGTCTTCATGTCAACAATGCAAGATTAAATTGTCGGTAAGATGTGTGGAAATGTCCTGTACCATAGTGGTATAGTTATTGTACCGTTTTGATTTACTTTTTTTTTTTTTTTTTTTACTCTTTCGCCGCATAGGCCGCACCCCGTCTTTTGATATTTTCTCTTCCAAAAATACTGTGGCCTTTACGCCGGTAAATACGGTAGGTTGAAGAAAAGTGACTTTTCTCTACAATTTGCCAATCTAAACAAATTGGAACACCAGAAACATTTATAATACACATGTATGTGTACATTGTACAGTACATGTCACCTACAATACATGGAAAGCAGTCTCAGCTGTGGAAACACACAACAACTGTACATGTGTCAAGCACTATTGATCGCAAGACTGAACCTGAACTTTGTGAATTCTGGAGGTATCTCTCTGTACTCCTCTGAGCACTACAGATCAATGTAGTGAACTTTGCACAAGACTCCCTGAGGAGACTGTCAGCCTACAGCCTGCGCAGTTCATGCCCCAACACTAGCAAACAATCGCATTCCCAGGCTTACTCATGAGACGCCTATTTTTGTGTAGGAATTCCTGCCCCTTTGTAAAGTACATAAAGTGTCTGTTATACACTTTCCCGGTGAGTTTCTGCGCTAGAATACATGAATGTAGAACTATACATTGTAGTCTTTGTAGATGCTATTTTTTTTACAGACAGATTCCTTTTTCGAAATTATTCTTTCTCCATGTAAACTGGGGCTTTCTCTCATAGGTGCATAGGTATGTACATGTAGTACATGTAGGCATGTGCAATATGAACAACTCTTTTCATAATTTTTTTTTTTTTATTTGGTGAATAAAATAACTTGATTAACTTCAGTCTTCTGAACTAAAAACAACAACACTGGAGTGACAGGGACAGAAAATTAAATGTACAATTCTGCCTCGGACTGTCGTGTCCAAATTCAAATCGGTTCATACACTGTAATAACATTTACACATAATACACATACTGTCTCAATGAGGTCTACACTGAGACAAGTGTCGTCTACATGTACATGTATGTAATTCAGTGCATATTTGCACAAACAAGCAATAAATAAAAATTCATGAAAACCGAATCATGAATTTTATTTTCAAAAATCCTACATTGTGTATAATTTTGAAGAAAAAAAACTTCCCTTTTTAATGACTTTAATACTATTAATAATAATGACACACACAAACAAAAAAGATCATTTCAAATATTATCAATGAATTGGATAGAGGCATTCTAGAGAAACTCAGGTGTTTTTTCTTAACATGTGTGTGTGGGTGATTGTGCTTGTGATTTTTTTTTAAGATTACAAAAAAAGAATGTATCAGAGATAACACATGTAGTACATGTACAGATGAATAGGGAGGAAATGATATCACAGACTCATGTGCAAGTTGCCAATTCAACCGATAAATCTAATCTCCTGAACAAGTTGTAGTCTGCTTTTCCTCATCCTTTCTTTTTATCTGTCTCTTTTCTGTACATGTATTTATTGAAAAGTAAATCATGGTGAGACTTTTTCCTACATGTATCAGGTGCATTATGGTAGAACAAAATTTATACTGTGATTAAACTCATGCCTTACTAAAGTTTGTTTCAGACTTCAGTTATAATTCTTTCAATACTTCAAAGTCAGAACAAATAATTTGTTTATTTCTTAATATTTTGTTATATGTTTTATCGAGTCAAACATAATCACTACATTATGTTTACAATATACATGTACAATGTATACAAATATAAAGGCGATTGAAGTATAAAATATGAAATATTGTGCCTGAACTGGAATAATATTTTTTTTAAAGTGCTTGCTTCTGGTCTTCCATTAATTATACAAAAGGAATGGCAATCTTTCAAACAAACTAAATTAGATGAAACTGAAACCACAAAATTTACTTGAAAAATTAGGTAACTGAAAAGATTAACAAACTCAGACAAATACTTTTTTGATACATTCAACAATTGAGATCACTAAAATCTAGACCCCTTTGTAAACCTCAAATGTGTAAATTGGTCATAGCACACTGATTACCTGAGATTAAACTAGTTACAGTATTAATAACCAGATATAAGTACTATACAGTACATTGAACTCTAGACTATATTATAATTACCGGTATTATACAAATAATACACAGATGAGAGTGCGTTATGGTCGATGCAGCACATGAGGGTGTTCGCTATGGTACCATTGTGAATACCCGAAAAGCGCTGCATCACCGTAACGTTGCGAACGAAAACCTGTGTATTATTTGTTTTATAAAATGGGTTGACATTCTTACTTAGCAAGGCTGTAAGATGTCTCCCCGCAACCTTTATCTACCGTTGTTATCACCAAAATGCACCCTATGCAGATGGTACCGTGCATATATAGTGTAGTAAAAATTAATGCACAGTCACATGATCCATTTTGCCTATTCTCATTGGCTACATTCTTGAACCCATTTTTTATAAATGTTTATAATGTACATGAAGGCTAAAGATCGCTTGACCAAAAAATCCATCTGCTTACTACATGTAGTTTATCAAATATATATATTGTCTCCTGACCAGAGCTCTCTCCTCCAAGACATATAGGAGAGTGCTTCTGTGAAGCCAGAGGTGGTCTCGGTGGAACATATTCCTGAACGAAACAGACTGATTTTTCTGGCTAAAGATTGCAAAATATTTTCCTTGACATTCCCTAGATCTAGGGAAAACGTGAACTATTCCTTTTCCCGCCCCCCCCCCCCCCCCCCCAAACTGGCAAAATTCAGCGAGCATACAGGATTTCAAATGTCTCCAGTGGGCAACTCCCACAGTGTCACGGCATTCACGCCGTGCAATGGTTCCATGACATTTGCTCCGGCGACAATTGCTCCGCTGTAAATTTCATACACTAATCGAATGGCTAACTTCAACCCTGGATTCAACACTATACCCTACCCTAAACCTAACCCTAAACCTAACATAAAACCCTATTGAAACCCTAACCCTAACCCTACATCTTAGACGAAATAAAGCCCGGAGCAATTGTCGCAGGAGCAAATGTCGTGTCACCCGTGCAATTTATGCTGAGCTGCAGTAACTGTACATACTACACTTCTGCAGTACCTAGCGCCAGCTAAACATTTACATTCACATCCTTCAATGTTTCATTTGAGCAGTGCAATTTTCTTTTTTGAATGTGATGTGAATGAAAGTACAGTACATGTTATTACAGAAGTATCCAAGGAAACAGAAGTGTTCAAGGAATCAGGGTTGCAAGGAATGATACATACAGGTGGAAGGGATATTTAAATGAAATATAGGGTCTAGACTAGACAGCAATAACCATCTGATTAGGGTCATTTCTTTAATAAAACTGACATTTGTTGTCATTCCCCAATACAGATGGCAACCCAGAGATCTCGTACCGTGGGGGTAGCTATAGCCAACAATGGCAGCTTTTTCTGTCAAAACATTTTCTCCCCGATTTTCTTTATTTAGATCTAATTTTCTGATTTCTAAATCAGATGTAAATTAGGTCGGTATGTCATTTGTTTGTCCTAATTACAGTTATCAAAATTTGATAACTTAATATTAAATACATAATTTACGGACTTACTTATATGAATTATCCAATTTGTATCTCAGATCCGCGAAGCAGTACGTTCATGCATTCGAAATATTACCCGGCGGCCGATATATTTCCGGGTCCACCTACCAAAACATAGCCAAATGGCCAATCAGAGCACTCGTTTCGTGGGAGTTCGTTGGTCAAGCTGGGCCGACTCGTACGTAGCTACGGTAGCTATTGGACGCTCGAAAAGAAAAAATGAATATTCATCAACTAAAACCAAGACGGATAATGTTGACGACAAGACTTTCTCGGATTAATCATTAATTTAGGATCTAAATGAGCAAGCTATCGATCGTAAGTCAAATAAGCTATATATATGTTATTTTTAATTTGTGTTGTAATTGCAGCAGTTATGAGGATGTAAAGAGTGAAAATCTCGTTGCATATCTCATTCATCGCGGTCCGGTCGAACCGAACCATTTGTTCCGTACAGTGCCTCACAGAAAGAGGTCCCCAGACTTCAGTCTCTATAATCGGAGGTCTAGTGGAGCCAGACGTAGTCTCAGTGGAACAACCGACGATTAGAGAGACTGAAGTTTTCGGTCTAGGTCTAGACTTGCTAGACAAGATCTACAATGACTTATTCTCGGAACAAGCTAAAACTTTTCGCAAGTTCAGGAACATCATACTGTACTATTTGATGTTCCTTTGATCGAATAGTTTTAGCTAGACCCTTGAGTGTCATTGTATATTTGTATAGTAGTGTCTGGTACTAGTACTACTGTACATGTAGCTAGCTAGGCCTACATACTAACATAGATTTACACAGCCTCACAGGCCATGTACACTGTCACATGCATATGCCACAGGTCTAGCTGTCACACTCACAGACATGGCATTGATGTCAACTCAAAAATCAAAATAAACTTTAGATAATTCACAGCATTTGCTGAGATTGTCCAGACATGATTGTCACAGGAATGTAACTCTAGAATATATAGAACTCAGTCGAACTAATGAATTTCAGAAATTAAATGAATTTCAAAGGTTACTTTTTAACCTTTGAAAACAAATGCGTAGACTATACTGGACCGGACTGATGGTTCCCCATCACACACAATGCGTTCGGATCGGATGGCCGTTGGACAGCCGAGCAGCTCCCTAGCCCTCGCCTCACATCACCTCAGCGTCGTTAGATCTGGAGCTGGCATCAGCATCACCCACGCATTTAAACCCTAGCTTGCCAATCACTCTTAAATCTTGTTTTTTTGAATAAAAATGTATATTTGATTATAATACTTACCAGTGACGTTATAGAAATAAACACCACATCTAACCAGGCAGAGTAATTCCAAAGCGAATGCCAACGCTAGAGAACACAACCGGTACGGTGCACATATCGCGATCGGGTGGGGCTCGAATTCGCATGCACAGTATACTAGTACAGTAGTCGAATACGGAGCAAATTATTACCCTCACTCTCAGCATGCATGTTGCAGTTCCATTCATATTTCAACAGCCAAAAATAACGCGCGCGGATCGAAAGAAATGTAAATAGATAAATTTCTTTAAAAAGTTTTCAAATCTCTATCATTCAAAATATAACTGTTAAAGGGAAAGGTTCGCTCAATTTTTTTTCCCGCTCCCGTTTGTGGCGCTGATCCTTGGGGAACTAAGTCTCCCGTATCGTCCCACGAAAATTTAGGGTAAATTAAATGCCCCTCAAAATTTCCTCATTTTTATTAGGCTACAAAGCCAGCTCAGAATTGCTTTTTACTGTAAAGTTTCATGAATTCAATTAACTAAATCAAATTATATCTTCCCCCAGTGGGCGGATCCAGGGGGGGGGGGCGGGGGAAAACCTTTTAAAAAACCTTTTCAAGTTGAAGCTGGGCCCCTCCCCTGGCGCTCAAGGGCCAGGGGGTGCGATAAGTTTTTTGCAAATTTTCGAGGGCCAAACAAAATAATTAGTGCTCACTCGTGAACCTTCGATTTTATGCCTAGTTTGTCCTTGTCGATGTTGTTGTCGTCACTTGATGTCGGTCTCTTGGGATGTATAGTGCTCTAAAATGCAGTATTACTTGAAAAGCCAGGAAAATATCCTCCGTGGTCGCTGAACTAGTCCCGCAGATTGATTAATAAAATTCCCAAGATGTGTCAGAATAAGCAACGAAAAAGGCAAATAAATTATGAGGATGGGGCACAGAGGCGTAGGTACGGGTCGGAGGGGGGGGGGGGTGCCTCCTCCCCCTCCCCCAATCGAATCCCCCCCCCCCCCCCAAAAAAAAAAAGGTGAGAGTGAGGGGAGAGATGAAGGAAAAGGAAAAAGAACGTGAGATAATATCAAGAGGAAGCTTGCTAGAAAGCTCTCTTAAAAAATTACAATGTTATGTGAATCAGTAATCTTGGGACAACAATGAAATCAAATCACTTTAAAATGCCAATTTTCTCACTCAAGGGCTACATCCCCTCCCGGCCTGGTCAATCTGCCCCGGCCCTAAACTTTTGACAATTATCTACAGCGTTTTTTAACCGATGAGCCGCAAGAATATTTTAGGATAACGTAAATTCATGAAACTAGTATCAGAAACCGCAAAAATGCCAAGGCAGAATAGTTGGGTATTTTAATGAGGAAATAATATCTCAGAGACAGTAAAGTGTCTTTTTCCCTTGCTCGCTTCGCTCGCTCGCAAACTTTAGCCAAATGGGGTAGTTTCAGCATGGACTTGGTTACAGGCAGCTAGGGCCATGAATATCCCCATGATCATAACTATGACAATATTCGGCCACCTCGTTACAGGAATATCGACTTGATTCGGGCAGCATGGGGCCCGAATTTAATCTTAATTCATTCTATTTTTAAAATCAAAATGAAATTAATACCACAACATAATAGTGTTTCTTTTCCCCTCGTTTGCTTCACTTCTCTCAAAATTGAAAGATCAAGATGTAGCAAAGATGAACTGAATATAATAATTTTCCATTTTATCTAATGTTTATAGATGACAGAAATAACCTTTTTTCCATTATGAAAGTCATCCTTTTCGCTTGCCTCGATCGCTTCGTTTCCTCACGCAAAATTGTAATCGTTCGTATGTGTATGAGGGACAGGTACAAAGAAATCATTGGGGTTACGCAAAATCTTTACCCTCTAAAAGGGTGCAGTGACTAATAAACAATTGAAATACGCTGATTTCAAAATGAATGAGCCCATGCAAGCTACCTACTAGCCACTGGTAGTTTAATGGCTTTAACAATTTTAATTGTCGATCCACTTATAAGCAAAAAAAACTTTTGTGGCTTAAAGTGTGCAGACGGCATGCAGCAAACAGCAAAGCAGCTGAGAAATTGCTTTTCTAACGAGTTTTTGTTTGTTTGTAGTATAACAAGTTGAAGAATTTTTTTTCAATCACGCGAATATCGATCATATGTTTTGGAACTGGGGCCGGGGCGACGACGTCAAACGTTATGCGAGATATTTTGGAGCAATCGGACGCTTCCTGACATCAACACTATACGATTTCACTTGGATACTTTGTTGGGGGAGGTTAGCAACTTATTCCCGTCATCTTTAACCCTCTTCAGATGATGAACGCATTTTGTAAAACTCTATACCCTCTCCCCATTCACATTATCTTATAAAGCAGTGAGAATTATTTCGGCAGCTGATTGGCGTGCTCACACTGACAAGCTATTTTACGAAAATAAAATGCTGAAGGTAAAAGATATATATTTTCTATATCTGGGATATCAGTTGGAGAAGGGTGAAGCTCCCATGTCAATAGCATCTATTTTTGTAAAGAATAACCAAATACACAATACTCTACTAGGCAGGCTGCCTTATACCATGTATCATCAGCTAGAACTCAGCTTAGGATTAATACACTTGCACATACTGGACCAAAGTATTGGAACTCTTTAGACTGTTCTATTAGGCAGTCTGTAAGCTCTTCTGTCTTCAAACGTAAGCTGAAATTTCATCTACTGTACACCTACAGTGAATAGATCTGATTTTTATTAGTATTCAATATAGGTAACTGGAATAGCATTGTCCCCCCCCCCCCCGTGTTGTACATTATCCTCCTTCCCCTATTTCTTTACTTTTCCATTATCTTTATTCTGTTTTCTTTTTTAGTCTACCATATTTTGTAAATTAGTGGTAGATCTGATATTTATTTATAGTCTGTATAGGTAACTAGATTAGTATTAGTCCCCCTCCCCCTGTAATATAACCTACTTCTTTTTAAAAAAAAATTTTGTTTTTGTAAAGGTGATCTGTGTTTTAACAAGCTGTGCTTTTTTAACAGACCACCTCTTTTTCCACATTTGTTAAAGTCTTTATAACTGTTTCATTGTTAATGTATTTATGCTAGTTTACGATGAACTTGTTACTACTGTTACTGAATGAAATGTTTTTTTTATGCAAGTGGAAAGAAATAAATAAATCTTGAATCTTGAATCAATAACATCACTGTGTTTGATGATGTATTTTAAATAGGGATTTGCCAATACTTGAAAAAATGCATTACAAAAATTCATGTACAAAACAGCCTCTTTTACACATGACTTGGAAACTGCCGAACTTGATTTGGGGCTCATTTAAAAGAAAGACGCCCCCCTCCCCTCCCCCTCCTACTTTACAAATTCCAGTATCCATCCATAGTACGCAGACACTACCCTTTTTGTTGCAGATTTTTTTTTTTTTTTACTTTGGCAGTTTTATTTACTTTTTTTATTTTTTCTTCCTGTAGTTCACTACATAATAGATGCGAACTTGACGTGGACATTATTTTTAGGTTTAGACCCAACTTGTTTAGACGGAGTCTGACCCGGAGTCTGAGCACTGATGATTTTGTTCGAGAAAAAAATATCTCTGAGTAGCCAAATTGTACTGTAATTGTAAACAAGAGATGGCGCCAGACCACTTGTTTGACTACAGCCATCTACGAAATGGCAACGTGTGTGACTAACGGAATTTTATGCAATCCAGCCTGTCTGCCTCCCTCTCTCTTCTGCCTGACTCTCTCACTGTCTTCGCACTCTCTTTTGTAATTCCTCGAATACTCGGTCCAATATTTATATTTATATAGGAGGGGCACAGGGGGCACGTGCCCCCGGCCCCAAAAATAAAATAAAAATTAGTGCGCACTACCCCCCACCCCCCCGTTGTGATTTGTATGGGACCAAATATATATATATATATATATATATATATATGTCCTCTTACCCCCCGTGTGCCCCCCAGTGTGCCCCCCGGGTAGAAATTCCTGGATCCGCCCCTGGGGCTGGCTTATATCTTTTATCCTCAATCATTCTCTCTCTCTCTCTCTCTCTCTCCCTCTCTCTTTCCCTCTTTGATTCACTGTCTAGCTCTCTGTTTCTCTCTCTCCCTCTCTCTCTTTTTGTCTCTTTTTCTCTGTCTCCCATCTGCCCCTGTTATCTGCCTCTTCCTCATTTTTAATCTTTTTTAAAATGTTTAGGTCTACCATCAACTCATCTTTTGACCAACTACACACACACATAGAAATTGATTTGTCCATAAGCCATAAATGTCCTCATATTTTACAAAACGATTTTATTTCCAATTTCCATTTTACGCTTTTATATAGGCTACACGAATACCTTCCGCTTTTCATAATTAACAAATTGAGACAGTTCTTACAAATTAGAACAACATAAATGGCAGTGGCTGATGTTATCTTGATGACTAATGAAATACATCTACATTGGTAAGAGAAATTAATCAACGAAGAAAATGTCTCTGATATAAATACTGTTATAAATATTGTTTGCATCTTACTCTTCGTGATATAAAAAATAAGAGCAACCTGTTCAAAGGAATTGGGGAGCTTTCATCGTCAACATGACTCCATTCTTACAAACCATAACCCATGCAGTGAAATCGTTAAAGTGCAGGTGTCATGGAACAATTATATAAGTGGGTGTGGGTTGCTCAATAACTGATAACATGGGGTCTAGATATGAGTGACAGTTCATTTAGTAAATATGAGTTTAAAGTGAAGTGCTTGAGCTCAATAATTGAGCCCATCTATTCATTCTACAGATTATGCTAAGGATTGGAGAAGTATAGGCCTAGCTGAAAGTACCGTTTACTTAAGAAGAAAATGTATAACATGAAAAATGGACATTATTATGAAAAGCGTTTATAATCTCACGAATTCAGGACATAGAGTTCAAGGGTTAGGATCGGGGGTCGCAGCCGGGGTCGCAGCCGCTGTTCCATCCGGGGTACCAGCCGGTGTACCAGCCGGGGTAGCAGCGGTACCTGGTGCATCAGCCGCAGCGCTATCGGTTACAACTGCAGCAGTTCCAGAGGTACCATCGGCACCAGTACCTGTACCCCCTTCAGCTGCATCAACGTCAGCCTCCTCTGGTTCTTCCGCTTCATCATCGTCATCACCATCTTCATCACTATCTACTTCGCTATCGTCACGCCTT